ATTGTAGAAAAATGAATTGATTATAAGGTTTCAGTTAGTTACATTTATATTAATTTGCATTTTAATAAACTTGAGTGGAAAACACTTGCACCATGCACATCCACAGGGGTCGGCATTTAAAGCATTCTTTCCCATTAATGAAAGTGTCCTCACAATTAGCAGCCAAGAATTGATTGAATTCTTTAAAACCTTAACACAAATTGATTCTACAAGCTAAAATAATGCAGAAAATGACCATTCGTTTTCTATAGAAATAGCTGAATTCAGGAAAGGGGGGACCTTTAGGCAAGAGCAGAGGGAATGGCCACTTTAGCAAAAACAAGAGTGGAAATAGATATGTTAAGCCACTGCAAAGCAATCTTATTTCTGTCTTTAAATCCTCTGGCCATTTACCCCCTCAAAGCCAAATAGACTCTGTCCCATCTAGCCAGTTACATTATTTATTTATTTATTTATTTATTTATTTATTTATTTATTTATTTATTTATTTTCAAATTTGTATGCCGCCCAACTCTCAATAACAACACTGCATTGCTGGACAAGTACCTTGTTTTCCCCTAAAGGGAAATGAATGAAATGAAATGCAGCCCTCTGACAAGAAAACTTTGCCCACATCTTTCTAAAATATGTTGTCATTTAGTAATTTCAAAACAAAGCCATTTCAATTAAGCAATTTCAAAATCAACATTATCCTTAAAATATGCTTCTATTTTTTTTTAAAGGAAGTGTCCTTTGAGAGAATCCAAGCTAGATTTGATCTGGACTTGAAGAAAATGGCCACTCTAGAGACCCTGAATACCTTTTCCATTAGGTGTAATTTTCAGTCTTCAGAATTCATAGGTAAGGTCTGTTCTTAGTTGAGAATAGCCTCTTTAAGCGAGGTGTTTTGTGATCTAATTCATTGTCTTCTATTTTTTTCAGTGTGCTATCCTAATGGAACCATAACTGTATTAGCTCACATGAAGACAGTTCCATCCATTGACATGGGCAAAACAAGACTGAAGGACAACGTTTGTAAACCTCGAGAACATACGAAGAACCAAGCTTTATTTCAATTTCAAGTTTCTACTTGTGGCACTTCCTTAATGGTAAGGAACTGAGAAAAGGCTGCCCAGAAAGAAACAGAGGTGACCTTTTCATCAAGTATATTAAGTTTTGATACTATTTCTTCTCTGATACAGTTTAATGATGAACACCTTATATATGAAAATGAAATATCCTTTGAAAAAGAAACTCTTCCAATACAGAATCGACCAATTATCACAAGAGATCCAGAATACAGGTAAAAATAAATCAATCACAGCTGATTTCAGTTTTAAGTGCAGGAATTTAAAATATATTTTTATTGCAGACTGACTGTCTTGTGCTACTATCCAATTAAAGAGACATTGATGCAAAGTGCTATGTTCTATGGTTCCTCATCTAGAACCTTACCTTTTGGTTCTGGTACAATGATGTCTTGGCCTAATAGCAAAGGTAGGTAATTTTCTTAAATGTACAACTTACAAATATCTGTCTGCAGTTATGAGAGCCATTATAATTTGTCCCATAGGCCTTATAAGGACAAGACAAGTTCTAAATATCCAGGCAAATATGTTCCAAGGTAAGACTCTTCTAAACGTGAAAATCATAAGTCTAAAATTATGTATTGTTTCAAAAATCTATCACTGTCCTACCTTTTTTCCTCAACCCAGATGAATCATTCACAGAAGCCTATAAGTCTCATTCACTAGTTTTCAAGAGTTTGTGGGAACCTCTATTTTTTGAAGTAGAATTAAAAGATGAAGCTCCTAATGTTGAGCTATTTTTGGAAAACTGCTGGATGACACAATCTGAAGAAATCAACAGCATGCCTCACTGGAACTTTATTGCAGATGGGCAAGTAACACTCCAGAATTATTTGTAATTATTTTGGTTAAATCTATTGTCTAACAACAGATTTTCTCATCCTACCAAATAGATGTGAAACCAAAAGCTATGGATCTGTGATCTTCTCTCCGGTAACCGCAAGCAATCGAATAAAATATCCCAATCACTTCAAAAGAGTGAGGATACAGAATCTGACTCTTCCTCTGACAGAGGTATTACTGATCTAACTGTATAAAACACAGACCAAATCACATGAATCATTGTGGTCATTGTGTTAAATATCTATGGAAGAAATCAAACTGCTTCCATTTATAGACACTAAGCAATCTTAAATGTTAAAAACAAGTGAAAATGATTATGTATGGTAATAAAATTAGTAAAAATTACTAATTTTCAATTAAAATAGTGAAATGATAAAGTTAGATCTTTTTTTTTAAAAAAAAAAAGATCACTACAGATTCATACAAGCGAAGCCAAGTACAAAGGCTTAGTTTAACACCATGTGCAAATTTCTAAGTACAATATCTTTCTTTGATCATCTGTGTGCTCAAGGACGTCACCACCTCTTTTGCTTTTAAGTGGTAAAATGCTGGCATTTCATATATTGTTACTCTAAATATTTAGAGGAAAGTGATGTTAAAATCCAAGCTATTCTAACTTTTCTTCTTGAAGGTATTTCTTCATGAATCAGTTACATAGAATATAAGAACAATTGGAGTTCAGATTGGTAAATTTTATTCACATAATCTTATAGGACTTCTAATAAAGGTTCTGTTCCTTATACTGTATATCTTTTTAATCCCTATTTAGGTATATTTGCACTGCACAGCAAATATTGGCACTTGCCTCCGTGTGCCTAGTAGTGGACTTCCCTGTAAACCATGCCCTCCTGGAACAATAATTGGTAAGTTTTCCAATGAAAGTTGGAGAGACACCATCCATTAATAGAGTGGTTACTAATACATTGCGAGTTCATTGTATATTGCAAGTTCCTACTTGCTATCTGTTTATTCAATGGATACTTAACCAATACTTCTTACAATGCTTTAGATCAGCATTCTGAAATTTACCCTAACCATCATGGTTATGTAGTAGTTGGACCAGTCTTTCTCCTTCAGCCTGAGCAATATAAAGAATTGGACATCACAAGAAATAAGGTAGGTTTCGGGGCTGAAAATGATTATAAAAACTGAGGTGAATGCTAGTGGAATCAAGACTGCTGGACTAGACTATCATCATTGGTGTAATTAAATAAATAAATAAATAAATAAAATAAATTGTGTAGAATAATATTGCAGGGATCATAGATGCATTTAAGTATTCTTAATTCAACACATAACAGCAATGTTATTCCTAAGAAGAGGCATGCCATCAATAATAAACCATGATTTAGGGGCTGAATAAATCAGTACAAAATTAACAGTTTGAAGGGAATCCAAAATATGTTACAATCCCACCTCAAAAACTTTCAAGAAACCATATCATGATCTTTCCCTATGTCCCAAGAAATGAAAATTGATACATTCTATCTGAGTTTGAGCAATAACATCAGTTAAAAATCAGATATTGTCAGAAAACTTGGGATTCTTAGATGGCAGAACATCCTGCAATCTATGACCATTGTAACTTTTAAAATCATAGCTTCTACATTTATCAAAGAAATAGGTAAAATAATTAGGAATAAGTGCAATATTGCCCCATTAAAAGTAGACTAAATTAAACTAAAATCAAAAGGAAAGGATTTATCTGAAAGTTTTACAATGTACTTCTAATAAAGCAAGAGATTAAAAAAACCAGGGTACTTTTTATACCAATGCACTAAAAAAATCATCGGAGTCAGGTGTCTTCCTTGCTTTTATCAGGCAACAATTTCATCAAGCAATAAAAGTTATATAAAATTAGTAATCTAACCTGTTGATAAATTTAGTATAACTCCCTTGGTTTTTTAAAAAAACCATCTTTTGTTTGTGAAAAACTGCTATTATATAATTTTTTTATTTCCCAGTATCATTTCCTTATAGCAATATGTAATAGGTGTATGTGTATTGGGAGTGTTAAAATACGTTTCACACTGTATTATGTATAATTATGTATAATATATAATTGTTTTCTGTAGTTTTTTTAAATCAGTGTTGGAAGTTTCAAGTTTATTAAGTACATGTTTAATAGAATCCATAGAATAATGTCAGGGAGGAAATTAGTAGAGTGCATAAAAAATAGTCTTCAACTTTCTCCTCTACAAATATAACTTCTCAGTTATTGTTTATTTTTATATGAAGCAATGTAATAATATGATTTTAGATTAGGAAATGCTTTAATAAGGTCCCACACAAAGACAGTGATGTAAGTAAATCCCTTTTAATACAAGAACAAGCCACTATTTATTAAAATAATATTCAGCCATTCATTCAAGGACAACTTAAAGATCTACTTATATCCTTAGCAAACAAAGGACTAAACTTCATAGGAGGATAGCATGAAATTGTAATACTGTTGGTATCCCATTCTTTAGTTTGGAGTATCAGAAAACTGAAGTATCAGAGAATAACCTAACCAAAGACCACTCCTGCAAATGATTTGGCATTCTGTGTAGCTCTTACTTGATATGGTAGCACCATCCTTATATCCCCAGATTACTTCTCAATTAGGCTTGTACGTCTGAGCCCCTGTTCTTACTACTACCCAAGAAGGTCCCCTGAGGAAATGGGGAGGTAGGGAATCACTTGCTTAGAGCTTCCTTTAAAACGATTGCTAGCTCTGGCAAAGTTTTTAAGCCACTGGCTTACAAGCAACATTTGAATATCAGTACTTACCTTGAAACAGAAGTCTGAGTTAAGAGTTGCAAACTGTTGATTAAGCAATCTATATAGCCATACATTAATCACTGAGTTTGGGAGAATAGATCTTGCACAAGGACAAAAGTGTAGGGCATGGGTGTCAAACTGCCGGCCCACAGGCCGGATGTGTCATGGAGAAACCACACCCACCCCATTGCTGGCAATGGAAAAAAAGTTGTGATACGTCATGACACGTCACATGATGTTGCGAGTTTGACACCCCTGGTGTAGGGCATCCATTTATTTACCTTACAAGCACTGGCATCTATAATGAACTAACTATATATATTTTTCTTTCCTACAGGTATAACCATGCAGTTCTACTTACCTTGGCCAGCTTTACTTGGGATTGTTAAAATATGTTTCATGCTAACTTCCTAATAATAAAAGCTTCATGAATTAAAAACAGAAGATACAATTTTTTAAGTTGGTCATATATGAGATTTAAAATCTGCTACTACAAAATCTGCTACACCAGTACATTCCTTTCTAAAAAGTTTAATTTTTCATTGAACTACTGAGATTACACAAATTTATTTCATCACACCAAATATGATAAGATCTCACATTTAGAGTTGGGTGTGTACATAATACATAATCCATCATCTCTCAGCCTAATTTCAATAATGAGAATACAGTGAGAACACCAGTCCATAACGCTGTGAGAGCAGAAATAACCAAAGCTTAATATATTGCATACAAATCTAATTGCTTATAAAAATGATATATTTTTGAAGCCAATCAATATTATTAGGTATTATGGGGAATCACCAATGTTAGTATGTAGAAGTTCTGCACTAATTCATATCTTTGATATTGCTTATTAATGGAGTATAATATTCTAATGAAGTAGCTGGTTATCAAGGAAATTTGTTTTATATAACTTGCCAATATACATAGCGCCAAACTACAGAATAAAATCTTCATGTAATTAAAATCAGTTTTAATACAAGTGCTGTAAGTAGTCATGCCAAATGTTTGACATCTTGAGGATTACTTTGCATGGAAATTGATCCATTCAAAACTGAGAAGTTAACACCCTTACCCCTCACCCCAGGAAATTTACATCTTTACCAAATATTCCAATCTCACAGCCTGTTTCTTCTACACACTGGACTTCAATAACCTCTTCTTAACTTGTTTTCTTTGTCAAGGAGAGTCTGACTTAAACTCAAAGAAGCATCTTCAAATTTGGGATTTAGCTCTAACACCTTCCTGAAATCCTTCAAGGCCTCATCAAAGAATCCTGCATATGAAAGGGAAACAAGGGATGATTTTATGTTATTTTATATATAAAAAGAGTAAAACAAACTATTATTACATTATTCAGGCTAACACATTTTAGATTTACTAAAAAGTAGGCCCAATTGAGCAGAGCACAATTTCTGATTAAACATAGCAATGAACTAAGTCCTAATTTTTCGGTCTCCAGCAGTTTTCCTGAAAAGTGAATCAGATTATTGAAAGAGCAAAGCACAAAGGTGTGTATGCTTTTCTAACACTTAAAAGAATTGTGAAATCTATATTTCACATTTCTTTTAACATAGATTATTATCTTAATCTCTTCATGACTGTGCATGCTTGGAAGAGGTTTTATATGTGCAAGTCAAAGAATAAACAGATAAAAAATTCTTATAGACATCTTTTATTTTTCTAACATAGTAGTATTTTTTATTTCCAAAGCAATATTTAACTGCTCACTAACTTGTATGCAACTTTCCTGTAATACAAACAACTAAACAATTTCTTTGCTCATCGTGAACTTGTTTTCCAAGCAACAGTTCCTCTAGTAGCACCTGTAAAATCTAAGGAGATTCCATGATGACATGGAATGAATATGAAATAAGAATTTTAGGGTTAGGCTAATAACCCAACATTTCAATTTCTATATAATATTGTACTTATGAAAGAGAAGGAAGTAAATAATGTTAATCATGATTGCAGTATAATAGTATTAAATCTTTCCAATAGGAAATTTCTACCCATTTATTTTTTAAATTTATTGCTATAATCTCTCATCAGAGAAATAAATATTTACTTTGCAAACATTCTTTTAGAACTTGGGCTTTTATGTTTTGGGATGAAAAACAATACATTAAATTTATATATTTCAATAAAGCATCTCAAAAATAGGGGGCAATCCCCTCTTTTTTATGATGCTATGGCAAGTTTTGCTACTTATTGTACTATGTTCTGTGGAACTCTGATACTTAAAGAAAGGACAGGTAACGGCAACAAGGATTTCTAAAAGGATGGATTATTCAATACTCTGAATGTACATTCACAGGGCAGGAGTTGGTCAGTATCAATGTGCATTCACACAAGTCAAACATTAAGCTTGAAGGCAATGGATATCTACAGTACTATAGATCACATTATTAACCTATACTATGATTAAAATCATCTAGGGAATACCAACAACAGTATCACTATTTGCAAATTACCATCATGGACTATGGACAGATGAACCTCCTTCTTTTGAAAGGTTGCTCTCTCTGCCCCAATAATTAGGCACTCCTGAAAATCTGTATTTTCACCTAGGCCAGTGATGGTGAACCTTTTAGAGACCGAGTGCCCAAACTGCAACCCAAAACCCACTTATGCATCGTCGGGTGCCGGGTGGGTGTGGCCCATTGGCTGGGTATGGCCAATAGGGTGGGTGTGGCCCATTGGCTGGGTGTGGCTACGGTGGTAACGGCAGACTGGGTGGGACTAAAACTTCAATCAATTCCAACTTTGCGAGATCTTTTTTTTCCCTGCGAGAAGTTGAAATTGACTGATTGATTGAACCTTTTTTTTTGCACACGGCGGCAGAGGCCTAAAGTGAAAAGGTTTTATAAAACCCAGATGAAGGCCTAGGACTGGGGCGATGGTGTGTGTGCCCACAGAGAGCGCTCTGAGTGCCGCCTCTGGCACCCGTGCCATAGGTTCACCACCACTGACCTAGGCCTTTCCATCAACTTTTAATGTACATGTTTTTGTTAATGGTTTGTTTTAACTTAAAGTTTTTGTTATTTTTATGTATATTGCAAACTCTGAGATATTTTGTGGGAAGCATTATCTAAATGTTTTAATATATATAGTAAATAAAACACTTATACAATTTTTCAAGAACTTCCCAGTAATCTTAATATGGATCTCTCTCAAAAAAAGAAATATGTTTCCTGAAAGGAATACATTTACAAAGCTCTATTAAAAATAGTCAAAGCAATCACAAAACAATTATGATTATAAATATCGAAGAAAAGAGTATGTACATACCTAGCCTATATAATATTAATCCTCTGTTATAATAAGGAATTTCAAAATCTGGTTGTGCTTGTATAGCTGACGTATAATCATCCATAGCTTCATAGAATTCAACTCTGAAATATTTAATTTGTCCTCTGTTGTTAAGTGCTGTTGCCAGATCATGACAAAGATGTTTGCTTAAAGGAAAAAGAAAAAAGATTATTATATTGGTAGTCCTTGACCTACAGTACAACCATTTGTTTAGTGACTGTATAAAGTCACTAAAACATATAAGGAACGGTTGCTGGAATTGGGTATGTCTAGTTTAATGAAGAGAAGGACGAGGGCAGACATGATAGCAGTGTTCCAATATCTCAGGGGCTGCCATGAAGAAGAGGGAGTCAAGCTATTCTCCGAAGTGCCTGAAGGCAGGACAAGAAGCAACGGGTGGAAACCAAGGAGAAAAGCAACCTAGAATTAAGGAGAAACTTCCTGACAGTTAGAACAATTAGCCAGTGGAACAACCTGCCTCCAGAAGGGGTGAATGCTCCAACACTGGAAGTTTTTAAGAAGAGACTGGACAGCCATTTTTCTGAAATGGTATCGGGTTTCCTGCCTGAGCAGGGGGTAGGACTAGATGTCCTCCAAGGTCCCTTCCAACTTTATTATTATTATTTACTACAGAACTAAAAAAAATGACTTTTAATTGTTTTTCACATGATCATTGCAGCATCCCCACAGTCAGGTGATCAAAACTTGGACACTTGGAACTGGCACATATTTATGACAGTTGCAGTGTCCCAGGGTCATATGATCATCTTTTGCAATCATCTGACAAGCAAAGTCTATGGGGAAGCCAGGTTCACTTAATTTACTAACTTAGCAACTGCAGTGATTAATTGTGGCAAGAAAGATCGTAAAATGGAGCAAAACTCAATTAACAATTGTCTTGCTTAGCAACAGAAAGTTTGGGTTCAATTGTGATCTTAAGTCAATGACTACCTATAATTTCTTCATTTACATTTTTTTCATTACCATATTAAGCATAGTATAATATGGAATGCTCCTTGAGATAAAATCAAATAATTTCTCAGGGGCAGCTCGGTACAATTCATGCAACTTAGTAGGATTTGGGTTTGCAAAGTGGCCTCTAAATTCGAAATCTTAGGTTGTACAGAATAATATGAGCATGCTTGGGATAAAACTGAGCTTTGGTTATGTGTATGGCATCCTAGCCAAAAATGCAGATATTAATAGTTATGTCCCTAACATGCCGCATAAAGCACAATACAGTCATCACCATTACCATTACTCTTTATCCTACAAAAAAGCTTTGTATGAAAGTGATAGCGCCGTGGTTAGAATACAGTATTGTAGGCTAACTCTGCCGACTGCCAGCAGTTCGATTCTCACCGGCTCAAGGTTGACTCAGCCTTCCATCCTTCCCAAGTTGGTAAAATGAGGACTCAGATTGTTGGGGCAATATGCTGACTCTATAAACCGCTTAGAGAAGGCTGTAAAGCACTATGAGGCAGTATATAAGTCTAAGTGCTATTGCAATTGCAATTAAAGTTAACACTCAAGAAAGAACATTTTGTTACTCTGAAAAGATACTGTACTACCATAGGATTCCTCGTTTGGGATAATCTACACTCACAGGTTAGCCTTCTACAATTCTTTAGGCAGCAAGGAGGCCATGGGGAGGCCTGGGGGACAGAGGCTGGTAAAATGCTGTAAAGCATGGATGTCCAACCTTTTGGCTTGCTTGGGCCACACTGAGTGAAGAGGAATCATTTTGGGCTGCATATAAAACATATATTTTCATAATATAAAATCACTTAATGTGAAAAGTTTACAATCTTGTGGGACCACGTTACTAGCTGGCCAAGGCCACAAGCAGCCCAAGAATTGGACACACCTGTTGTAAAGCATTACATTGAGCACCTGGCTGCTGTTTGGTTCTGCCCCACCCCATCTCTATCCATCTCCACTAATTGAGGATTCCCTTTTCAGAATACAGAAGCTCATACATCTTCATCTTTTAATATATTGCTGTTTCGCTTTCTCAGCTGTTTTATAAAGGTCCCTGCCATTCTAGCAAAAGGACCAGGACTCCGACTATCCTACTTCAGACCCAGCTCTCTGGAAAAGGCTCCAATGCTGGGAAGGATGGAAGGAAAGTGAAGAAGAGGAACCACCAACAAGCTGGATGGACTCAATTATTGCACTCGACTCCGAGTGCACCGTTAGCAGACCCGAAACAACAGGTCAGGCAAATAGATCGCCCTGGAGAAGATCTGTGTGTGGTCGCTGGGAGTCGAGAACGACTCGAGGGCATATAACCAACCAATCACTCTGACAAGCAATAGAGCTCAAAGCAACTCGGCAAGAATCCCACCGCCGCGATGGGCTCAGACTGGAAGGAGGGTGAAGGTTCGTCCTCCGAGCTTGTAGGTTGGTTCCTGAAACGTTTCTACTAGGCTAGGTAACATCTTCAGCGGAGTTTCGGGCGCCGTAAACTCCTCTGAAGATGTTACCTAGCCTGGTAACGAAACGTTTCGGAAACCAATCCACAAGCTCGGAGAAGGAGCCTTCACCCCCATCCTACACCCGAGCTACAGATAATACGCCACTGTTTCAGATTGGGATCCGCGTCGTATCCCTGCACCTCATGTCGGAGCATGCGCAGTGATGAATGTATTGGCTGTAGAGCTCCTCCGCCCTCTCATGCTGCAGCCCTTGGAAGTGCTCGTGGGCTGCAGCCAGCAAGTCCGCGGCGGTTTCGATCCTCGCGTCTCCAGCCATGCTTTATTCCTAGGCGGCGACCGGGAAGCGCGGCGAGCCCTCCTCAGCTGCCCGTCCTGCGCCTCCTCTTCCGTCACTGGGCAAATCTAAAGCGAGACTAGAGACATCAGAGCCTCCCACTATTGCCTTGGGCAATCCTGCCTACCGTAAGGACGACACGTGACGCCCGCAAGCTCCGGTTGATAGATTTATTCAGAGGAAAAGTCCTCGGAGGTTTTCAGACGAGCCGGGTCGGGCTGGAAGCTGGAAAAGGCGGGTGCCTCCGCGCCTTGAGAGCAGCAACTTAGATATATCTGGGCTATTTGTGCGTGGAGGAAAACCGAACCAATAACGGGCTGCCGTGATTTGAGGAGAAAAGGAACAGATTGGCTGTGCGAATAGATTTTTTTTAAAATTAATATGATTAGAAGCCTTCATTCTAGTCACTTTGCAGATTAAGGGTGACTTGTGGTATGCCTAGGTTGGAGAAAGGTTAGCGACTTTTTTAAAAAGATTGAGTCCAAAAGCTCTTGACCGCCGCCCGTATTCCTGAAAAGAAATTGGGAATGACTTTGGTTTGCCAGGAAAGGGTTAATCATCCTGCTTGTGATGGATACCGTGTCCATGCAAGATGCTTAACCCCGAGTTTACAAACATATGTTGTAACGTGCAAAAATCCGTTGTTTTATTTGCGTTGATATTATGTAAACAAAAAAAAAAATACCTTCGGCCGGCTGTTGTTAAAAGGGTGTTTCCATTTAAAGTATAATAAAAGAATAATTCATTATTACAATTATTAAATTAAAATATTAATGAGAACCAGTTTGATTCAATCATTAAGGTGCTGACCTGGGAGCCAGAAGACTAACTTCTAGTCCCCTCTTAAGTAGGAAAGCTGGCTGGGTGATTTCAGACCAGTCTGTCTCAGCCTAACCCACTTCACACGCTTGTTGTGGGGAAAATAGGAGGAGCAAGGTGTACTCAACTTAAAACAGTTGGTTTAATGACCGTTTTCACAGTTACGACTTTTGCAGCATACCCATGATCAGGGGATCAAAATTCGGACGCTTGGCATTGGTTTATATTTATGACCGTTGCAGTGTCCCAAGGTCATGTGATCACCTTTTGCGACTTTCTGATAAGCAAAGTCAATGGGGAAGCCAGAGTCACTTAACAACCGGGTTACTAGCTTAACTGCAGTGATTCACTTAACAACTGCAGTAAGAATGTTCATAAAATCGGGCAAAACCTATTTAACAAATGTCTCAGCAACAGAAATTTTGGACTCAATTGTCGTAAGTTGAGGACTACCTGTATTATGTATGTTCACTGCCTTGAGTTAATTATAAAGCAGTGTATGTGACATAAAATCAAATAATGGATAAAATGCAAAGAACTTTTTTATATTAGTATAAAAAGCACCAATTTCAATATTCCATGATTGAATTATACATAGGGACACAGACACACACAGTTTTTCTTGAGTAATTCAATTCCTGGTGACTTCCTGGACACAGCCTTGCAGATTTTTTCGCAGCTAACAATAAAAAAATGAAATTACTTTATACAGGTAGTCCTCAACTTAGGACAATTTGATAAAAAAATTATGTTAAGTAAGACATTGGTTAAGTGAGTTTTGCCCCATTTTACCTTTCTTGCCACAGTTAAGTGAATCACTGCAGTTGATAAGTTAGTAAACCGGTTGTTAAATGAATCTGGCTCCCCCATTGACTTTGTCAGGTCACAAAAGGTAATCACATGACCTTGGGACACAGCAGTGGTCATAAATATGAACCAGTTGCCAAGCATCTGAATTTTGATCATATGATCATGGGGATGCTGCAGAGGTAACTGAAAAAATGGTCATAAGTCACATTTTTCAGTGCTGTTGTAACTCTGAATGATCATTAAACGAATTATTGTAAGTCGAGGACTACCTATACTGCATTATGGTACATCAATGTACCATTTATGTGTTTGGTAACCTGACTGCATTTGCATTGTATCCCATAGACACATGAAAACCATTTGTGATCTTTATTACTGACTTCTAACAAGCAAAGTCAGTGGGAAAGCCAGCAGGTCACAAATGACAATCGTGACCATGAGACACTGCACGAGATTCCCCTAACAATGGTTATTGGGTTGCTGCAACTGCTGTCAGAAATCAGTGTGGTCATGCAACATTGTGGCACTTAGTGACATTCTAGCCCGTCCCAATTACAACTGTTAAGCGAGGATTGCTTATACAAAGATATGTGAAACCCAGGGCGATTGTTATTTTGTCAAAAATACACAAAATGCTCTCTATCTGCTGTCCTGGGTCTGGAAAATAAACATTATTAGCTGCTGAGCATAGGTTCCCAAGAGCCATTGGTCCAATATTTGTGCTTAAGTACTGAAAACAATTGTATTGAAGCGATGTTGTTGTGTCATGTATGTCATATCATATATACAGGTATTCCTCAAATTACAGCAATTGAACTCAAAATTTCTGTTGCTAAGTGAGACAGTTGTTAAATAAATTTTCCCCATTTTATGCCTTTCTTGACATAGTTGTTAAGTGAATCACTGCAGTTGTTAAATTAGTAACATGGTTGTTAAGTGAATCTGGCTTTCCTATTGACTTTGTGAGGTCGCAAAAGGGGATCCCTTCAGAGAGGAAGGCGGTGCAGAGTGTGGTAAGGATGGCCCAAAAGATCATTGGCAGTTCCCTCCCTCCCATCCAGGACATAGCACAGAAGCGCTGCTTGAGCAGGGTCCGTAAGATTGTCTGGGACACTACACTTCCTCTTCACGACCTCTTTTCCTTGTTACCTTCTGGGAGGAGGCTCCATGATATCCGTAGCAGAACATCCAGATTCAGCTATAGTTTCATTCCATACAGCATTAACCTTGCAAACACTCAAGCTTCCTCCTTCTGTTATATATTCAAGATGGACAATATTTAATATTTATTTGCTATGTATATGTAGGTGTGGGTCTATACATGTTGTACATAGTATGTTTAGGTGTGTGTCATGTATGTTTCACTTTGAGAGCGTGTGATGACGTGCCCACAGTAAAAAAAAATGACAATAAAGATTATCTTATCTTGATCCTAGGACACAGCAACTGTCATAAATATGAACCAGTTGCCAAGCATCCAAATTTTGATCACGTGACCATGGGGTGCTGCATTGGTCATGTGAAAAATGGTCATAAGTCACTTTTTCAGTGCCACTAACTTTCAATAGTCACTAAATGAATGTTAAGTCAAGGACTACCTGTATGTCAAAGACTCAGATAGGTAATACAGGAATTGCATATAAGAGTGTGAATTCTATTTTTAATTGTGGTTATTATCCCCAAAATATATTATTTCATAGCATGCCATGACGACTTTGGAAATTATTGTATTTGATATATAATGTAGATAAAAACCAGTGTTTTTGTGAAAGGAGGTGGCTTTTTTTAAACTCTGAAATCATGTATACCAAGACTAACCAAGTCTTACCAAACTGTATTTGTTAATGAATTCAAATTTCCATTTTTATAGGAACTGAGAAAACCCTGTTTTGATGTCCATTACTTCCTTTGCCTTAGTAAACTTCTAAGCAGTACAGAAGTTTTGCTCAGTGTGTCAGTATGGCCAGTACATCTTTATTCTTGGACTTCAGAACTATAGAAAATAACAGAAGTAGTAGTTCATGTTTTCCTGGACTTATAGATCCATTACTAAGCATCAGTGATAACGTTTTTCTACCAATATGTCTGACATTTCCTTTACCCTCTTGTCAACAAGATTTTATTTAAAATTCCTAATATTACACAGTGGTTTTTATTACTAGCCTTCATTTTTGTACAACATAAGGTCCTATACAAAATGCTCTCACCTCCTAATTTAAATGGCCCCAAATCACCCAGCTGGCTTCAACTGATAAAAAAAGATAATTGTCATTTAACTTACAGAAGATTTATACCTGTACTACAAACAATCAACAACTTTTTGTATTAAAAGCTGAAGCACCCCCAACTATATCCTTAAAATCCTATGTACTAATTCTTAATAACAATCCAACCAAATTCATGATTTCAAGTAAGTAAACACTGAATTACTAAAGTTAGAGCCATCTCTAGATTATCCTTCTGGTGACAATGACCTCTAGTTAGATATATATTGTATCATAGAACCATAGGGTTGGAATGGATCTCAGTCTTTTCTTGAAAACTTTAATACAACATTAATAATGTAAGAGCAATTCCTTGTTTAATATTTTCTGAGAATAGTTTTTCCTTAGCAACTTATTGCTTCAACATTTTTGATAGGTATTTAGCCTGTTTTAATTATCTTCTTATCCTATCCTTAAAGTGCCACCATCATTTACTGCAATTTAATTAAACTGAAATTGCGGGAAGAGGAAAAAAGAAAGGTCAGTTCACTAAGTTTTATAATTGTATTTCAGGTCTTGACTGAACTGTTATTTCAACAAAAATGTAAAAGTAATTAATCCAGATACCTATGGTATATACTATAAACAATCCCTCAAATTATTTTCTTAAAGATTTATTAAAGCATCTTTTATAAACAAAGATGAAAATACATACAGATTTGAAGCAAGCAAATGACAAAAGTAGTGTCTTTTTCTGGCATTCATACTATATGATAAAAAATGTCAAACTATTAATTCCAACTTCCAAAACATTGTTTCAAGGCATAGGGATAACACAGTAAAAACTAACATAACACAAAAAGTTTCAGGTAAATACATATATGCAATAATGCACCACACAGGAACTAATTTTCCCACACTAAAAACGAAAGAAAAAAAAATCTTGCTATTGAAATGATTGTTCTTCAGAACTAATCTATACTTGCAAGATGCTTGATTTTCTAAATGTGTAATATCCAGAACTTACTTAACTTAATAAACGTGTTTCCTGAAGCAAAACGAAATTACAAATCCACAGAATTGGAGTTGTATGCAGAAGCAGAAATTGAAAAATAAAGCCCCACAGCAAGAATTACTTAAGAGATTTAAGATCAATAAAATTAAAGCTAGCAAGAGGGAGAAAAATCACTCCCTTATGAATTATGTTTAGTAAGATTATATCAAATGCCTCTTAACC